AGGGGCCAAGCCCACCTCCTGAAAGACAGCCACACGTAACAATCCCCTCTACAGCAAACATCACACTTGATACAGTCGAGTCAGGCCTGACAAAGATTGATGAGTTTCATTCTAGGCAACATATGCTCACTGCTCTAAAGTAGGGCTGCAGAAAATCTTACAATGGTGACAATAGTGGTGAATAATGTCATCATAGGATTGGTTAAACATTGAATTAACACAAAAAGCATAGACATAATGCATAGAATGCTGTTTATTGCATGCTAAGCTGCTCTTTTCAATATCAATATTGCACACACTGTTACTGGGATGGCGAAATATTCACAATATAATGTGAAGCCTTGCATAATACATGGTAGTTTATGCAGCGTGCTTTACACAGCTTCATCTAACTTGGATTCAGCTACTTGGCCATTGAAAAACATTCCACGTTCACAATGTTATTAAGATAATCTGAGGTATACGTGAAGTTTTTAGGTATGCAGCTATAGACTATACAGACTACGCACACGGGGTAATTGCTGTCATTCCTAATTACTCTATTAAAAGATCCCACTTAGTTGGGAGGAATTTCTTGACTAGTCTTATTTTACCTTCATATGAAAACATTTATGAATGAATGACTACCATCACAGATGTGCAGTTTACCTACAAAATGTTTCCTAATATATCCTCATAATATAACATAATTTAAAAACTTTTAAAATTGACTTTTTTGAGCTTTACATTATGTTATAATATATTAATATTGATTCTTTCATGTATGCTCAGCTCTACATTACGACGTCACCAGGTGACTCTGAACCCATCCAATCACTGAATAAATGTTTAGAACAGATAAATGTGTGGATGTGCCAAAACTTTCTCCAGCTGAACAGAAACAAAACTGAAGTCATTATTTTTGAACCTAAAGAGGAACGATCTAGAGTTATAGATCTAGAGTCAATGCACAGCTTCAATCATTACAACTAAAACGTAGCGATCAGCCTGAAACCTGGGAGTAGTGATGGACTCGGACTCGAACCTTGCGAGCCACATAAAGACAGTTACAAAGTCGGCCTTTTATCACCTGAAGAACATCCCCAGGATTAGAGGACTAATGTCTCAGCCAGATCTAGAGAAACTCATCCATGTGTTTATCTTTAGTCGCATTGATTATTGTAACAGCATCTCACAGGTCTGACCAACAAATCAATCCTCCAGCTGCAGTTGATCCAGAACGCTGCTGCTCGCGTTCTCACTAAAACCAGGAAGATAGAGACATAACACCAGTTTTAAAGTCCCTCCACTGGCTCCCTGGAGCTCAAAGAATAGATTTTAAAATACTGTTGTTAGTTTACAAATCACTGAACGGTTTAGCACCACAATACATCAAAGATCTGCTGCTGTTGTATCAACCTTCCAGACCTCTCAGGTCTTCTGGTTCTGGTTCTGCTTTGCATCCCCAGAACCAGAACCAAGAGAGGAGAAGCAGCTTTCAGCATCTATGCACCAAAAATTTGGAACAAACTTCCAGAAAACTGTAAAACAGCAGAAACTCTGACTTCCTTTAAATCTCAACTAAAAACACGCCTGTTTAGAATTGTATTTGAAATGTAATATGTAACAATGTATTGTCTATTCTATGTTGCATGACTTTGTGTTCTTGTGTTTATGATGTAAAGTACTTTGAAATGTCTTGTTGCTGAAATGTGCTATACAAATAAAATTTTATGTGATTTAATTGTGCTGTAAAATTGCACTATGTGCTAGGAAACTACATAATACTGACTCTTTAAAAGTACACTAATTAGCTGGATGGTCATTTTGGCTCCATCTCAGAATCGATTTGCTTTGAATTTAGACTCAACCTAATAAAGATTCATATAATGTCTCTAATTTTGTGTATTGTTTTGTATAGCTTTTAGTTAGATGCATGTTTCAAATTTGCAAACACTGCATTTTCATTTACATTTCATGCTGCATGCCAAGGACTTGGAAAAAAAACACAGGGTGAGGCTTCATTTTGTATTCTAGACTTTTCCTTTACATCAAGGCTATACTTGCTACCGAAGCAGATCTTGTTGAAAACCTTTTTTGTCTGTAATGAGGGTTTGTTTTGGTTGGTGAATCGTGCCTGAATTACATAATTTCAGTGTTGCACTTGCACGTCAGTCTGAGGAGGAGCGCAAAAAAAAAAAAAAAAAAACACACAACAAAAGAAAAGAATCGCTTTAACTACAATCTCTGGCTTTCCAAACACGGCCCCCTCAAACTATATCCACTTCTCTCTGGCTCAATCTCTCTCAGACCTTCTGTCCCGATCTCACCCACTCCTCCCTCACACATCACACCTCTCATTACTCCGCAGCGAGAGGCCAATCCGAAGAAGGTTGAGTGCCAGCGCCTTGGTGATTGGAGCTGTTGCAAATCAGTGGCTCGCTGACCCCTTGTCCATCTCCGGCGCAGCCTTTGCAGCTGGAAGTCCGATAAATCAGACAAAAACCGAGACGCGAAGTCAGACTGCATCTGATGTTTCACCGGAGAAACTTGAGGAGAGCGTTTCTAAAGATAGGAGTGAGTCTTGCTGGCCGGGGCAGTCGAGAAAGTTTTGCTGTCTTCAAATGTGATTTCAGCAATGTAAAAAAAATAAATAAATACATTTATTGAAAAGTCAGGTGAATTTTTACTTTAGTGTGTGACCAAATAAGTTATGTCAGGAGGATCCGCGAGTCAGTTTCTCTATTGACATTAGATCACTATGCAGACCATCAAAAGAAAATGTTCCTTTCTCTATGTATTTCTACAGCCTTATATTAATGCAAAAGTGGCTCAAGCAGGCTCTTTAGTGAATTATTCATGTAAGAAATCTACTTTCCATGCACTTTGTTCTAATGCTGAGGACCATGTGCGAGACATTCACAATGAATTATGCCGGAAATTCACCAAGACCTGAATGTCAATGTTGCTGATAAACATATAAGCTTGAAAACAGTGTTTGTCAGCTGTGTTGTAATGTGCGCTGGAAGACTATGCTGACTCCTCAATTATGCTCACAATGATGCTTACAGACTACATCAGAAATGTTGCTGATTGACTACTCGCCGTTCTTCACACCAGCTCAGTAGGGGAATTAGTTGACATATAAATTATTCATGTCAAAGAGGCAAATGTGGTAAGGAATTTGAAATCAAGCAAACATTTGAGGAGGACGGTTTCATTCCTTTCTCTTTGTAATCAACAAATAGAGGCTTTGTAAGAAAGTAAGATCCAGAATTACAAATTTTCTGATTTGAAATTCAAGTAAATTTAAATATAATCACATTTTTGAAAAAAAAAAAACAAACAACAGATGTTGACCTAAGTATACCTGCAATCTGCTACATACTGGTAAAAGGATCAGCTGACTTAGGAGATCAATTTTATCACAATATTTTCAATACTATTGCGATAAAGATATAACAATAAGAGTGAACTAAAAACTATTTAGTACATCTTTATTAGGTAACTCTATGACTGTGTGTCACAGCAATTATAGCTCCACAAACATATATACTGCTCTTGAAAACCATTCCCATTTGTAATACGCTTTTTTAGGACATCGGTCACATAAAAAATTGTGATTTGTATCACTACTCTGCACACTGTGACTGTTATTCCAAATGTAGGGGTATTCAAAGATGCTTTCATTAAACAAACAGTGGACAAAACAGTAAAACTATCAATTCTCACAATTAGATTATCATTGTAACAACAATAGATCCATATTCTTATCATGATAAATAATAAACAATACAATAAATGCTCATCTGTAATTCATTTAGTTTTTAAAATTTTGTCAAAATAGTTTCTACAAGCATTTTTAAAAATACAATTTTGCTGTTTTAAAGTATAAAAATATGTATTCAGATAATAAACAGCAAGTTCCGGTATTTTAAAAAAACAACTTATACCCTTTGGGATATTGATTGAAGGGACACGCATACTCTCCCTGCAAGCCGTTGCGGCATGGCTGACATGATTGCTATTGTATTTATAATCTTTTTAGCTCAGCTACAGGAAAGTGTTCAGTGTTGGAGATCTGCAATTTAAACTCCAGCCTAATTGCTCTCAATTAAATGGCTGTTTGTCAATTGTCAACTCAAAAGGATTTTAATAAACGACTCGAAGGCTGGACTGCAAACAAGACATTTCACACAAATTATCCGTAGCTTTTGTTGTCCGGGAGAATAATGTCCTTTAGTCTGAACCTTGCAGGCATTTCTTCTACACATACAAAAAAAAATCATTTCAACTTTGAAATAAGAGGAAATTGTGGGATCCTTGCTTTTAAAAAAACATATCAAAATAGACAGTATGACAAGCTTTCAACTCTGCCCAGTGACAATATTAAAGTGACTGCCTCTTCACCGCACAACAAAAAAAAAAAAGAAAAAAAAAAAAAGAACTCAACCTTGCACAATCATGCTTTTATACAATGTGGCTCAAAGGCATCAGGGACTTCTGGAAAATATATCAAAATCACTTCACATACAGCAGCCTCGCCTTCAAACCAGCAACAGTCGAAGTCTAAATGATGCACTTGATTTGTTTTCTGCGTTCACGCAGCGAAAACTGAGGATAAAATATTGGCTTCTGCAGGGCATATTCCCCTTTTTGTTTTATCTACCAATGAGCAGCTCTGGCTCAATAGACCCACTCAGAAGCAGAGTACTGTACTGTATGCTCCACTGACGGGTCCATTAATCAGTTGAAGTATGTTTCAGATTTGGGCCTACTTTTCAGAGACACAGCTCTCAAATTTGTTTAGGTAACCATATGAACACAAGACAAAGTACAGAGCAAAACGGTAAAACTGAATGAAGTACATCAAGTGTTGGTGTGCAGGCTGCTTGATGTTTGATTAGTAAATTTCATTAAGCCGTTAATTTAATGAACAGGAGTGCTGAAAAGATTAGTAATTATGTAACTAATAAAGAAATTAAATGCTTAAGTGTTTATCTGTGAATAATAATACTTACACGTCTACATCTGGAATCAGATCCAGCTTGCTGGGGAAGACCTCAGAGAGCAGCACTCGAGTGAAGGACTTGCCCAGAGATTCAAGCTTTGACTCCAGGTGCTATGGAAAAATGAAAAGGGGATTTTAACAAAATTAAAAAAAATCCAATTTATACCCTTTTTTTTTTTGTTTCAAGGCATTGGGGGTCAATTGGAAAAGTGTGAGGTGAATCATTAAGCCCTACAAGAGGGAAACCCTCATGGAAAATCTTCAGAAAACTGAGTTAAATGGTGCACTTTGGGGCCACTTTGAAGAAGTTTTTCTGCGTTAACCTTTAGAGCCACTTAGACGTTTAACCATTATGCTGGTGGAATAAGCAATAGGCTTTTCACAACAGTGACATTTTCATAGAGTAACAAATATTGCCAGTTTCTATTCAGTCATCCCACTGCCTCTCTCAAAACACACACACGCACACACACTTCACAGGTTAGTAGGCCTTTCTTGTTTTGATCAATCAGCTTGAAGCTTACGGAAACTGACCTAACTTTGAGGAAAATTAACTTGCAATTTATGGTTACTTTACTTTGTATGAACAATACAGTTTAGCTTCTTTTTTTCTCTTTGCACACAGAAGTCCAAAGACGGAACCTTTGTATCCAAATATTTCCAGTAGACCCGTAAATCTGACCCACAAGCATCCACAAACAACAACGATGGATGACAAAGCTGCCTCTCTCAGCCCACTGGGGATTCACTTTTGTTTCAGAAAAATATTTGACTGGAAGCTGGAAAAGATTATTGTTGTGTCCAAGATGTGCTGAAGGAGTTAGCCTATCAGTGAAGCTATTAAAGTCTAAAAAAAAAGCTTCTTGATGCTAAACATGTAGCAGCAGCACAGACGTATCCAAGGCTAATGTCAGCGGCGTCCACAGTCCACATTTCTAAAGATGTTACATGAATAATCAGGAGTTCTTGAAACACTTGAAAGCTGAATGGGTATAACGGCCCTTTGCATCAATCTGATGGTTGAATAACCAAAGTAACAGAGTAAAAACAAATGTCTTTGTTATTGGGCTCATTTGTCTATTACGTAAATAATTTAGCAGGAAAAATGTTTTATTAAAATGGAAATGTTGCTTATTTTGTCGATACATGACTTTCAATTAAAACATGATTAATTTCAAATAGTTAATTAAAAACCCCGCAATTAACTCAATTTTTTAAGTCACGTTCCACCACTAGATAGGCTCTACAGTAGGGTCCACAAAATTCACAAAAAACTTCCCAGCTGGACTCACCGCTGTACAGTTTTCTCTTCTTCAAATGTGAAGAAACTGTATGACTGTGACTGTTTGCAACTCAATGCAGCTAATTACAAGTTACGTTTCCATTCAGCTGTAGTAGAGGTACAGACTGTACATACATTGTTCAAATACAGATTGAAGTAAATTAGTTGAGATTCTCTAAATGTATTCCGGGCAGCTGTACTATTTTTTTCCCCTGAGGTATACTGAGCAATCCAATTATGGATACATATTTACTTATTGGTTGGAATGTTGTTACTGGCAGTAAACTGCAACTTTACGCTATGGTTCACAATGAAGTTGAACAAACTCTTTATACTCTTTCTCTTCTAACTGCTTAAGGTTGCCTGTTCCTGTCAGAGAGACAGTAAATCCTGGCCCTAAGTAGGATTTTGGCTGACACCTTATGTTGAGAGCAGTGATAAATATGGCTGTTGCTTCACAGTTCTATAACCTCATTGTTACGTCTCCTACACCTTTAATCCACTCTTTACATTTCTCTTCTCGGCTGTGAAACCTCACAATAAAAAGTGATGAATTACAAGAGCAGTGCATCTACTTTCACTGACGTCGCCTTTTTAGCTCCCTGCTAGCTTGTCTACAGCAAATGTGAAATCAAAAATAATTTCTGATTTCACATTTTCATTTACTGTTTGCTCGTGTCTGCAAACTAGCGAATGCTGGATAAGAACGGGGAAAAGACAACCGGTCCTTTCTGCAAAATTACCCAGGTACGCTCAAGTTCCTCGTGAATTTCTGCCACTAATGTGTCTTTTCAAGTCTTCTTTTAGAAATCTGTCCAAAATGCCACAGAGAAGCAGTGAACCTCCTGCAATCACTTCACACTCATCCCTTCAGTTTGAGCCAGGGAATTGACATCAAAAGAAAAGGTGTTGTTTTGAGGTTACCGATTTGATGTTTCATTCCTCTCACTGTGTGTACCTGAACAACGTCCATCCATCAGATTGAGCCGTTTTCAAACTCCTTCATTCAACAACAATCACAAAAAATTCGAAGTACTGTCAAGGTGTAGTGTCGTTCAAAGTATTTTATTGTCGAACCATTACCTGCACAACCATTTGGCGGACAGACGGCATAATTTTTGGTAATTATTGCAATTGGAACCTGTTGGTCGATGCCCTCAGTGGACATTATTGGTTTAATTAAACATTTTACAGCTTCATCTCACCTGATCTGTGTCTGGTTCGACAGAAACGTAGTAATGTTATAGGTTTCCAATCAGTGAATAGACAAATATGCTGCTTGCAGATTCCGGGCAGCAGAAACACTGTTCAGTATGGAAACAGTTAAGATGACTGTATTTAGTATCAGTGAGGTGTTTAAAATTAAACTCAGAAGCAGCACAAAGATTAAGTTTTTTAAAAGGAAACTATGTTTTGTATGACATGTTGAAGCGTGTCTAGAAGGCCTGGTTCGTTTGGGAACATCAGAGTCTGTAGTTGAAGTCTGGTCCATGTGCAAACCTAGATCTCTGTTCGGTTGAAGTAAATTCTGGTGCGGTTCAAATACATATTTGAATGCCAAATGGACCAGAGATCATTTCAAAAGCAGAAAGTGGTCTATAGCGCAGGGCACACTTGGTAAAATGAATCTACCACTAGCTTGAACTAATGGTTTATGGTCTTCTAAAACCACTCAAATTTGACGACATTCGATTTTTCTTCACATTTTGTGAAGAAGGAAGCTGTGCTCATGTCTTCTTTGTTGTTCTCTTCAGTGGTTCTTGGGGGTGATGGAGGTATCATGTTTTTCTAGGGGCTTGGCTCATTTGACACAGAAAAGTGTGAAAGCAAGTCACAGCAGCTGAAACTACAACAAATGTTGCAATTTTGGTCTCTAATCGAACCAAGTCTATCAGACCAACAAGTGTGAAAATATATCAAGACTTTCAGCAGGTAACAGGAAGGTTGAATGCATGAAAACAAAGTTACCCTGATATATAGTACTCTGAGCTTTTGATGCATATCCCTCAAGGAATATTCAAATTCAATGCAAATTCAAAAATACTTTATTGAGCCCTTTTATACTATTATATACTATTTATATACTATATACTAACTATACTATTTCATAAATAGTATAAGTTACAAAATGTAACTATTTTGCTAATTATTAGCAGAAGATGCTAAAGACAGATAAAACGTCAACTATCCTTCCCTTTCAGTCTTTTTAAAAGGTAAAAAAAAAAGTGTCATATCCTATTGTTACACTGACTCCTCTCTCCCAGACATGGTGTTACATCACCTTGCCTCCAACTAAAGACTGATACTCCTTTGGCAATATTTTGGAGTGATTCAGCCAAACTATGAAGCATTGCATGAATTTTATTCTGGGCCAGACCAACACCTACCTCTAGAGAGTAGTGGACCCAGATAAGACTGGGTTCATTTTGGGCTATAAAGAGGAGTTATATGACAACCCATGTATATATATATATATATATATAAAACCTTTCCAGCAGGATGCATGTATCAATAAATTAAACTGTTCTTTGAGTTTAGAAACTCCACTTCCCTGCTGAGTCTGCCTTTAGAGATGTGGGCAGTTGGCTGAGTTGTTATGAGAGCAGGAGGCAACCAGACGGAGGGAGAGAAAAAAATTCCCACAAATGCTCTTTAAGTGAGATAAAGGTAAAAAAGCAACGCTGATATCCACCCTCCCTGGGAGGATTGTGAAACATTTCAATGATTGCGCTCTTATCAGAGTTAGTCCTGTTCTTTTACTTGTGAGGTTATCTGACACCACACTTCTTAATCTGAGCAGATCGCTACTGGAAAGCTTTAAGAGGGTTTTTTTTTCTTTTTATTATTATTAAAATCTGCCTTCTTAAATCCTCACTCCTCTATGAAAGAAAATGATCTGTTTGGTTTCCTGTTGACATTTTTACATCAATGCTGGCTTAATATTTCAAATCTGGATATAAGTGAACCTGAAGTACAAGCTTCAGTGTGCATTAGCTTTAAGAAAGATAGGTGATCTGGTATGAAATCTTTTACATGTAGCATTCAAGTTAAAGCCAACTTATACTGTGACACAGAAGGCTTAGTGGTAGTTTTTAAACTGCATTTTTTTCTATAAATATTTCAAATGTCTCACTACTCTGATTGATCATTTCCCTCTTTGTAAACTACTGAATCAAAAAGAATGAGTAATTTTCTTGATTTGTAGTTGTGCTTAATGTTGTGTTTTCTGGATTAGCAGTTGTTTCAAGTCAACGCCATTGTGGTTTTATGATTTGTAATCATGCTTAGTTAATGTTATGTTTTTTAATATGTTCTTATGTTTTTAAATTTGTAGTTGTGTTAAGTGAATTAATGAACTTCAGGAACACCGTGAAAAAAGACAAAGAGTAATATCAAAATATTCGGATCTGCATCACAAAATAACAAGCTGCCACACAGAATGCTGTCTGTCCAAATACACACCTGTCTAAAGAAAACAAACAAAAAAAAAACATACTTCGGAAAGTATTACCAGTGATTGCACAAGAGGCCTCGGGACAAGCAGACTGCTGAAACGAGAATGCAAACTCACCTCCAGGACTTTGGGACTGCCCTGTCGGCCCAGAGTGCCCAAGATCAGACCCCATCTCTGGGCCAGCCGAGCCTGGTCGATGGCCTGCAGCCTGGTGGTGCGCATGGCCTTGTGATCATAGTACTCCCTGGAGAACACCTTGCTGTAGGGGTCATATCTACAAACAGGCACAGACAGAGAGAATCGCTACGGCACACAGATGTTTTAGGAGGTGTGCGTAGGCATAAACATGGGAAGTTTTATCCCTCCCATTACCAGCTGTTGCTCGGGTCTCTATCTCGAGGACGGAAATGCTCAAAAAGACGGGACGTTTAATCATGAAAAGCCATCGAGTATGACAGGAGCTGCAGTATCTTAGGGAAATGGGGGTATTTCAGAGCTTTTAATCTCTTTTTCTCTCCTACACTTGAAATTAGAATCTTGTTTATGAGGGGGAGACCTGTGATCTTAGCTGCAGTGTATGGATGTATAACAACTGAGCTTGGATTTAAATTCATACAAGTTTGCTTAAAGTGTATTATTTAGGACAACATTATTTGGCATTTTTTCAAGACACAGCAATATTAATGATTTGCTGACTTAGAAGGTATTGGAAAACAGAACAAGACGTCTTTTCTTTGATTCAAACATCTAAATTCTTCAGATTATAGTTAATTCTTTATTTTTTTTTTTTCAAATTAAAAACCTGCTTCAGCACCCTTTAATCGAATACAACTAAACTGCCAGTAGCTTTAATTCACCTAATTAGTAAAAGGAGACCATCTGTGTGTAATTCAATCTCAGTACAAATACAGCTGTTCTGTTCTGGCTCAGAGGTTTGTTAGAGAAGAATGGCAGAGATGGCAGGAATAAAATAGTGGAAAAAGGCTAAAGCAGCTACAAAACAATACCCCATTTAAGCTTTGTTCAATCCCTCATTTGAAATGATGGTACGAAAAAGGAAAGCCATTTTTAAATATAATAAAAAGAAAGGCGAGTTAGTACAGCCACTGTTGACAGAGGATAAACAGTTTTCCTATAATTGTAAGTTAGCAACTGATTGACAGTGCTGGAAACAACCAATCAGACCCTCTTCCTGGCTCTGCAAATGGCAGCAGCACCACAGAGAGAAAGCAAATGTTTTTTTGTAGATTACCAATCTTGCATTATACTGCATTTGTTTTTACAAAAGCTACATACTAACATTCCAGGAAAGAAAACATTACATACATGAACATTTCTCAAACGTGTTCTTTTATATTACCTGTAGGCAGGAATGTCTGGGTTTGCGATCATGATTGACTCCAAGTGAAATCTTCCATCTCCAAGATAACTAAAGACAAATACATTTAATTGTCAGCACAGGAATTGGAGAACAAAGAAGACAAAAATACCTGCTGTTTCTCAATATGAATGTGCCTTAGACACACAGCCTTTTTTAAGAAACACAAATCAATATAAATGCATATTGGAGGATAAGAACAGAGCACTCCGCTACTTGGATGTGGAAGGTGTTCAGGTCCGTACCTGTTCTTACTTAAGACATGCAAATAATCTCACTAATTGCTTTCTTTGTTGAGAAGCTTGAAACAGGGATGTAGGCCGTTTGCCATGCAGGCAATTTTGAAACTCGTCTAGACTCTGTCAGAGCGCGCCTATGTGAAAACGCGTACTCGTTTTCCCGCGCGTCCCGGTAAAATAATATGCAACGACGGAACAAAATGAAATCTGGCACAGCCTCCTCTGCTTTGCTTTTCATTGCTTGAAAACGTCCGCGCCCCTCGTATAATTACATCCGCACCAACAGACCTGCAAGCACTTCAGTCCTGTTGTCCGAATCCGGCTGTGCTCTCTGAGCCTCCGCTTTATCATCATGTTCGCATCTACATATTGTTATTTTGTAGAAAAGAGTAAAAGCGCATTTCAGAAGACAGAAACGCTCCGCTGATCTTTTCTTAAAGCTCTTTTGAATACACTTTCTGGCTGCTAAGAGTTGTTTTTCTGCCTTTTTTTTCTGTTCAGTGCTTCAATGACTTGTATGTGCATTTACATTTTGTGCATGCAGCATTTCTGTCACACTTGCTCAGTTCTAATTAAAGTAAAAAATAAACCGAAGCCGAGTTTTAATTAATGCCATTTCAAAAGGTTGATATTCAACACTGTAAAAGATATGTCACAGCTAACGAAACTGAACTCTGACGCTGTTGTTACAGACAGCAGCTTATCTGTCGTGACATTGAATTGATATCTATTAAAGTCAAAAAGGAAATCTAATTATTGAAGGAAACTACTACTCTGTAATTAAGCCTTCATTGATGCAGCAACACCACAACAGAACACTTTTTTTTTTCTCCATTTGGTGCCGCATACGAGAGAGCGCGTTGAAGATCATGTTCATGGAGCTTCATCATAATATCAACATGTTTGGTATTAGCTTAAAGCATCAGTTTTACAAGTTGTATTTTTTTTATTTTTATTCAGGATTGTATCTCACCACAGTTATATTCATTTCCATGTATAAAATCAATAAATATGTAGCGGAAATGTAAGAAAATATGGCATGCACACTTTATATAAGGGAGCCATGGATTGTCAAGTCTTAAAGCTAGTGTTTTATTCATGAGGATTTAATTCTCCTACAGTAATGCAGCTGTCAAGTTATCGCAGAAAACAAGTTGCATTTATTTGAGTAATTTTTCTTTAAAATAAACATACTCCTAGGAGTAGTTTTACTGCGCTCCACGTTTGACTTCTACTTGAGTAACAACATTTCCAAGTGTAACTAGTGTAACTACTCTCAATACTAAGATAGCATCTAAAACCAAACCTTTCTCCTTCATTTGGCTCAGACACAAAGAAAAGAAATCAAGTTGAAACTGCAAATTATTAAAAACAAATAATTAAAGTATGATTCCAAACAAAACTGGGTCTGGACCAGTTTACGTCTCTTTCGAGGAGTCCATCTGCTTGGTGTGAACTAATTTGTGTCCTCAACTCTCAAAGTTGAGAGAATAGTAGCCTGCTGACTGTTTTCTGATGTAACTCCGCTTGATTCTCATCTCCCTTCAGTTCTCCACCTGGGATTTTTACCCATTTAGCTGAATTCCTCTGACTGAGTTTCAATCGGGCCAATCAGCAAACAGAAGAAAAGTTTTGAACAATGTTGATTTTAAAATTGTACTCTACGTATTGCTGTAGTTTAATCAATATTCTATTGTTGGCAAAGAGGTTGTGACCGTGAGCGTACACAATTTCCAGTCAGCTTTATTGAACTGGCACATTACAAACGTCATGGCCAAACATTAGCAACTCGGTAAAATCAGATCCAATGGCTTAAAATGTCAAGTTTCCACGTCTCCAACAAGCAATAGCTTCTCAATAGTAAAAGGTCCAGACCCTCTGGATGATGAAGCAAAGCGTAGAACATGGGTTTGGTTTTTACCAGGCTGTGCGGATACGACTGTTTCATTATTCTTGAAGAAGAGCTGGAGGAGGAACCCAACTTGTGCTTACTGCCACAAACTCACCCACAGATTCTGCACAGATGAATCCGTCACATTCTGTTTGATGTTGTCTTGAGTACACAAATCTGAATATTGTTCTTAAAAGGTTCTTTTTCTTTCAGTAATATAATCAATATGATCGGTTTTCTGTCTACAGCCAGAGCCAGTAGCTGAGCTTCCATTACATATGTGCACAAAACATTTTCAATATTTCGCTAATGTCGAAAAAACACAATTTCACAATTTCCATTAAATAAGAAACGCCACTAAAACCAGAAATGAATACGTTTGTTCATGCGATAAGTCATTAAGAAAAATGTCACGCCATCATTCTCCAGCTACTTCCCGATTTCTTCTTCTTCGTGGTTTAGGCCAGGGGCAACAAACATGTTGATCATGTGACTCGTGTGATGTGAACAAGTGATTTCCATTGCAGATTTGCAAGAAAAAAACAATTGATACGGTCAAGAAAATCTCCTCATCCTGGCGCCAAAACTTTTATCGCAAAAACAACAGCTTTTCAAAAACCGCTGTGTTTCCATTAAGTGAATTTATTTTCAAAATGTCAAATTGCACAATTATATGATCAACAGAATTGCAGCCAGTGACAGGACTATAAGAAGGTGTCATTATGGAGGCAAAGTTAACATCCATATAAGATTGGTAGTTACTTCCTGTTTCAGTGGCTGTGACTAAAAAGATTTTTATGTTAGAAAAAATGTATCTCCTTTGAAGACCAATGAGAAAACCACGTAGGATTTAAATGTTTATGATTTAAAATATAATATTGTTTGTATAAGTATTAGAGAGCTTCTCAAAATGTGATAGATGTACAACATAAGTTACATAAATATGTAAAACACACAGCAACACTTGCATTGCTCTCGTCTCCATTTGTGCACATAGCAAAGCTTTTCCACGTCTTTTCACGCACTGGAAGGTTCGAATCACATGGTCTAACACCAAATGACTAAAGCTAAATGTGTGCAGATAAGACAGAGGAGGAATTTTCACCTATGCATAATTAAATCAGGGAAATTACATTATCTCGCTCTGTGCAAAAAAGCTCAGGATTTGTCGAACACAACTCAGCACGGCATGTTATTGAGGGAAAGCAGCTGCAGGCATGTTGCTACTTCTGCAAATCTCTCTGTTCCTTGTCCCCCAATGCCTTGAAATATCTTCCCTACACACAGGTACGTAAAGAAAAAACACACCCACTTGTCTAGTCTTTTAGAAGTCATGCAACAACTGGCTGGAAGTTATGTTTTTTCCACAGAAAATGAGATAAGTTAAAATAGGCAATCACATGAGCTGCAACAAATGTGTAAACAAACTGAGATGTGCTGCACAGTTTATCAATTCTCCCCATGCGCATGTCGCAGTAGGTGTCGCGCTTTGAAAAAAGCTCTTGTTTAAAAAGTTGGAAAATTTGGCACAGACGTGGCTATGTTGCGGTTTTAAGACATCCAAAGCTGTCAAACTACATCGAATTTGCAGATTTCCACAGAAAGAAGGTATTTTTAGCCTCTCAGGGGAACAGCATCTGGCTTCTCCTGGCTGCTTACAGAACAGACAAACCTGGTTATCTCTGCCAACTACATTTTATGTGACTGGGAGTATTGTCACAGTGATTATAACTTAAATCACACGAGTGGGCATGGAACTGGTGAGAGGGGAAGACAGGAGGAAGGAGGATTCTTACATTATGGCATCGACGTGGCGATCCAAGCGTGGAGAGGTGCAGCCTAGAATTTCTCCCGGTGACAGAGGCCGACACTGGGGGACGAGCACATTATACTCTGGCCTCAGGGCTGCACTCACAGCCTGCAACATGAAGAGGAGGGGAAAGAATTTCCACATATTTATTCTGAGGAGGTGAGACGAGGGTCTGCAGGGTTTAACGTATGCAATTTTGATCACCTTTTCCCAAAGAAAAATACTAAAAAACAATTTTCTTTCCAGTGAAGTTAAGCACGAGATTCTTACGGAGCCCTCCAGGGGACATGGGAGATTTTTTTTTTTCTTTTGCGTCCCCTCGCAATACTTTTGTGTTTCCTGGCAAATCTTTTGCGTTCCCTCACAATAATCTACTGATCAGTTATGCAGCATAATTGAACACTTCTTACTGTGGCCACTTTTCGTTCAGCTTTAAGATAAGGTTATGTTTTCCATGTATGTTAATATTTCCTTGTGAAATATTTGACATTTTATATAGTTTTCTTTAGTATAGAAAGGCACCACAAACCTATGATGTAAACAGAAACCTTCCTTAAGTAGGAAAGAAATAAAAATACATCCAAACTTTTTGGACTATTTCTGAGACATTATCACGGGTAATTAGTCATCTGACAGTTTTGGTTGTGTCTCTCTGTTCGTAGTCTGTGTTAAAGTGCCGTGCCATCTTGAAAAAGCGATTTTCAATCAATGTTTTGCACCAAACAGTTAATAATAATAAACATATTTTTGCTGGCGTAGTGAAAGGTTTGTGGTGCCTTTCTATCCTAAAGAAAAACATGTAAAACTTCAGATATTTCATGAGATATTAACATTGATGGAAAAACCTCACATAACCTTATATTAAAACAGAAAGTACCACAGCCAGCATAAGAAAGTCTTACAGTATTTAAATATGCCACATAAACTGATCAGCACAGTATTGTGAGGGAATACAAAACGATTAAATCCAAATCAGCTCCTCCCCTCAACTAAACATTTAAAAGGCAGCAAATAGATGCATAATTAGACAGCCGTACAGAAAGAGCAGCCTCCTGCAGTAATAAAACTGTCGTATTTTCCAGCAGCCACTGTACAGCAGTAAAATGAGCTGGAGCCCAAGCTTGTGTAGCTAGGCGATGGGCTGGGCTTCATTGGGGTTGCTGGTAAAGGACAGTTCCTGCTGATTTGTGGCTCAACATCCAGGAGGTTTTTCAAACAGTTCATTTTCCAGACACCAAAAAACATTAACTTATTTGGAGTGTTTTTTGTTGTTGTTTGTTTGGGATGCTTTCAGAAGCAGTAAAAACCCAAATAAAAATGTGCAAAATGTGAATTTTGCATAATACGTCCTCTTTCAACTGTATTTACTGTTAATAAAAAAATAGCATGGCTTCAATCAAGCTGAATTTACAGCTAATTTTTTTGTACCATTTGGCTGAAAAGAAAGCATAAATTAATGGAAAAGGCAGAGATAATGCATTATCACCTCCATTATATCTCAAATGAAATGAAATAAATCGAATCACTTCATTAATCTTTCCTGAGAATTCATCATAAAAACTGTTTTTAGTTCTAAAGAAATCTACTGACGGACAAACCATATAGGCATCCATGCATAGATAAACTACAACGAAGCACGAAAGCATACATGGACACATGGACGCAGCAGAACCACAAAACATGCAATTTAGAATCACCCAGGAGTGTAGAGTGACATAAAAATAGTGTATTTTACATTAGCAAAAGCCCACAGCAGTGGTGAAGAACTCAGAAAATGAAAGCAGCAGAGCACATTATAGAACAGCGAGGCAGCAAGCCAGAGAGAGGGATGTTAAAGCTTAATACTATAACTGCTGCCACTGCTTATGTAAAGAGCAGTCCTGAGCATGATGCTGAACTGAGAGGCTTTCCGAGGTCATTGCGCCTTTCAAAGCAAAAATAACTGCTGCCAGATTTGACAAACCCACACTTGAACTGAGCTCAGAGGAGGGTTCATAAAAACCAGGCACCACAAAATAAAATACATATATGGTGCAAGGGTTCAGATCAATGCTTGTCTATATATTTCTGCTGCACCAAAAAAACCAAAAAACAAAAACAGAGCAGGATAAATTCAGAAGTCAAAACTGTAACTCGTGACAGAATGAAAAATATTCATTGTTGAAGTCACCTGGATGTTTTCCTGATATGATTATGTCTTGCAAAAGTGTTCAGATTCATTTCAGTTTACCTTACATGAATATTATTTGATAGTCCAGCAGAAACTAGTGTAATATTGTGAATTGGAACGAAAATAACATAAAAAAAAAAGAATGGACTGCATTTCATCTTCCTTTATTCTTTCCAAAATAGCTGAAGATTCTCTTTTGGATTCAAGTTGTGAACTCTTGAAAAAATGATCTATGCTCAGGATTTGTTTTGTTTTTCATCTCATTACCTTGTGTGAAGTTGTACCTCATCCCCAATCTGACACCTTTTGCTGCCTGTGGCAAGTTTGCTCGAATAATTTATGTCTTATATAGTAACTTCCGAAGTTTGGCTGGTTCTGCGACTTTTAATCAGGTGAAACTTAGGTGTGATTTTTTTCCCCATTTCTGACTGATGTGTTAAATAATAATTCATACTGACATACATGAACCATGGAGTAAATATTACCATCTGCAGACAAGATGGAAGCTAATCACAGGCTGGAAGATGGAGGTACAAGTCAACAGTTGGTTACATAAAAAATGCGTTCCTGGTGTTCTGATGATCCAGCTTGTCAGTTTAGAAATAGCTCCGACTATCTGACCATTCACAAGCTTGCTAAGGCTTGTGAATGGTGCAGTCATGTCTCCATGGCCTCGTAGTTGTCAATGAGACAAATATAAATTACTTCAAATAAATGATTTCATAGAAAACAACTTCCTCTCTATCTTTGCGGATTTACACTGCATGCGTCTCCTCTCCACTGCGTTACACACTTTGCCGACGGAGAGCAGCTGCTCCTGCTCACCTGCTCCTGATTCGAGCAGGACATCGAGCCACAAGACTTCCAAGCTAAAGTCCACTCTTTCCGCGAGTTTATTGAAAAGCAGCTGAACAATGTCTCACCAAATCATATGATTAACATGAACGAGAACCAATCACTGTTGACCATTGCTGAATAAATTCGAGTTGTACTCCAGTGGATCTTGTACAAACTAATTTTCTTTATAATTTGTCATATGTTCTCTTTTTTTATGGATAAATCTAATAGAATATTTATTTTCAGAATTTGAACCTAGTAAATTCAAAATTGTGCCATTTGAGGAGTTCAGGATATTTGTCCAAATTGCAAAATGTATGTTTTTTTTTTTTTTTTTTTTTGCTTAATTACTGTTCTGAATATGTTGTTTATTCAGCAAATTACCTAATTAGTTACTAAATTTGTTGATAATTATTTCAGCAATCAATTAATCAGAATTAATCAGCCTCACATACAGCACAATTCTATGTATCTCAATCTTTCTTCCCATCATCTCTGGCATCTTCCCTGCTTTTTGTTTGCTTTTATTTTGTCCATGCGAATCATAGTTCCATGATGCTGCCACCGCCATGTGGATGGTGTGTTCAAGCTGATATACACTGTTAGTTTTACACATGTAAAACACTATTTTATGAGTAAGTGACTTATGAAGGCAACTGCACTAAATTTTGTTCAAGTGTATCAGAGTAAATGGAAGTGGGACACATTTATCGATAACAACAAAATACTTTCCTTTTCTTAAGTGTCTAAGTGTCTAATACCTTATGTTCGGTTTGTCATATAAACTCGCAACAAAGCACAATCAAATTTCTGGTTCTGACATGACAGAATAAGACAAAGAATGAACACATTTGCAAAGCGCTGCAGCCAAAAATTAGAACAGTAGCCTGGGTCGATTACCTGCAATGCTGCAACAAACTGAATGGTGCTGACAAGTGCCAGGGATTGTCCAGGATTGAAGTTGAACTTCACTGTGTCCAGGAAGTGCGCATTGTCCATCTGGATATCCACAAACACGTACAGCATCTTGATCCCCGTAGTGGAGTCTATGGGGACTGCAGGGAATCGGAGACAAACAAATATAAAATGAAAGGCTTATGATGGAGAGACAGATGAATAATTCACTCTTCTGTCAGATGAATCGGCAATATATACACAGCTGATGGCGCCCGAAACATTGAAGCCCTTAACATGTTCCGTTGTCCAGCAATACAGGATCTTTGAAGGCGCCTTTATAGCTCACAGCTGGCGTCTGCGGAGTATAATTGAAAATCATTCCCATCAAGTTGCCAACTCATGCAGGAACTGATGCAAAGACCTCAATTATTTAGGGAAGGAGAGGGACACATGTGATCGCTATTAATGCTATTAATTTCATAGGCCATTTACCACGCACATAGGCTTAGAAAGCGTTTCTGGAGACGTGCAGAAGAAGAAGAAGTTGCTGAGTGAAGATGGCAGGACAGGAAGGGCAAAAAAAGGAGAGAGGGATGCATAAAACAAAAATTGTTTTGACAAAAACTATTATTCATCCTTTTATTTCACGTAATTTGCTCATCGGGACCAAGAGGACATCTTGTTTTAATTGAATAACTGGCCCATTAAGGTGCAAATGTCAAGATTGGAGGAGGTTTCTTAATGTCACCACATTAAACAATCGAGAAAAGAAATATATGTGAAATCAGAAACCACACAGACATCTAAACTGTTTTCTTCACAGGAGACTGAAAACAGACGGGAATGAAACGAGAGTGAATTAATGAGGAAATCCCAATTGAAATAGACAAAGTTAATTTAGGAAGAGGGAGATTTCATAGACGGCTAAAGGAAGTTCAAACAGTTTGCCGCACAATGCAGAAGTGGAAAAAGTAAAAATGATCCAGAGTGTGTGAGAGGTAAGGTTGTAAAATTAACTGGATAGAGAAAGGATTAGCGACTCCACATTTGATCCAGGAAGTATAAGGTATGGATATGGATGGGTATTAGAAGCAACTCGATTTGGCTGCAGGGCCCAAGAAGGTAAAACTAAAACTAAAAGTGTTGCGCCTGACGAGTAAACCTCTGAGCTGAGACTACCATCTGTCTGTTTCTTGTTTATCGGCACTGCCAAACAGTAAAAGGGCAGAGCAAAGCGACATCGATCTGTGTTCACATTACCGCGGCGGTCTGAGTGCACTTAGATGCCGCAATTAGAGAAACAGTCAATGAGACAGACAGGTCTCACTGCACAATCACTGGGTTTTATTCTCATGTGTTATTGCAATAAGGCCTATTAGCAGAGCTCCTTATTAGACAACAACAAAACAAAAACATGTAAACAACTATTTTACAAATTTACTAAAAAGTAAATGTTGATAATGGAACATGGACTCATCGATAAACATACAACTGAGAGTAATTTGTTACACGTGAGCATTTAGGCGATCTTCTATTAAGTGTTCGTTCTTAATGGACTTGGGCAATTATGACACAGAATAAAGATACCAGTTGACGTCATATTAAAGTTTTAATTAAATGAAGTTATATGTAACAATTTATCAGATAGATTTTTAAATGGAGTCTAAAACAGAATTTACATCTAAAAAAATTATTGTTAGTTGTCAAATATTTATTGGGCAAAAAAACACAACTTTCTACAAACTAACAAGTGTAAAATAAGATTTCTTTTGTTTCCATCCGCTCAGGTGGCGAGACTCTAGGTATAGAACTAGATATACAACATTAGATTTACAGTACGACCTAATCAATATTCTTTTTGAATCTGCTAAAGCTGGTGAGTGAGAAAAAGATTAATATTAGCAAAGTCAAAACATCTTTGGCACTGCAAAAACACAAAATCGTATCAAGTATTTTTGCTCTAGTTAGTACTGAAAATATTGTTTACATTCAAAAACCTAATTTACAAGTAAATTCCAGCAAGATAAATCAGTAAAACTTTAATATTTATTTTTAAAAAAAGCACTAGTTCTTCAGGGAGATTATTTCACTTATAACATGAGGGTTTTAAGTGAAATAATCTGTCAGTGGAACAAGTGCCTTTTAATATATGCTAAGGAATTATTGACTTAAAACAAGCTTTTATACCATGCTGAAGTGATAGTTGAAAGTTAATTTTGTCTTATTTCAAGTGAACCAAGATATTTGCACTAGAAACATAGACATATATATAAATTTTGTGTATTTGAAAGTGATAGTCTTTTTCTAATGTCTTTTTTTGTTGTTGTGTAAGTCTGTACAAACTTTAATCTAGAAAAAATAAATAAAATAACTGCATTATCGCAGTGAGTCCGCGATAATGCAGCGAAAGACATAACGAAGTGTTAAACCTGAGCAGATCTGATTTAACTGCAAGTGAACGCTGAGGGGAGAGGTGTGGAGCAATCTGCATATTTATAGATCCAAGGAGGTTAAGGTGTACAGTTACATCTGAGCCATTTTAACACATTGATACATTTTTTTAAACCAATGCAAAAAAGCGTCTAAATATATTGCTCAGATGAACTGAAAAATGTCTGATTTGTTTTAATCATGTCACATTGATTTTGTATGCCTCGTTCTAAGGTACTCTTTGACAATGGTATTTAAAAGGATTGGATATATATATATATTAAAAAGAGAAAAAAACACTGCAGAGAAAATGAAAGGAACACAGAGGAGACAGTAGCTCTGAGTCACTCTGAGGCATGAGTCTTTCATCTTTCACAGGTGGTTGAAATCTTAGGAAACAGTGCAAATGATGTCTCATGGCTGAGAGATGAAGGCTCAGATCACAGACAGAAAGACGACCATAAACAAAAATGTTCTGGCAATTTCTTCTCATCTAACTTAACCCTGAAACTCAGACTTTGAAAACTTCAACTTTGGTGCTTGTAAGCACAGACACTGATGTGCGACTGTCCTCCACTCCCTAGAAATAAAAATATCAGAACTAACCATGATTTCGCTACAATTGATAGATAATGGCCGAACTAACAAAAACAGGGGAGAGGGAGAAGCTTTTTTTTCAGACACATTAAGATTCTGTTGGTCATTTCTGGTATTTTGCCGAGGTGAGCTTGTTCTGGCAGATATGTATCAAAATTATTGATTTAACATTTCTTCCCATGTGCAAAAGACAGACAGACAGTGATGTGTGAAGGTCCTGCTTGAGGTTTTCAAAGGACACCACTGATGTGTTTTCAACTGATGTGAATGTGGGCCGAAGGTGATGCTGCAAAGATCTGCTCGGTCTCCAGTTGTGCACTACCAGTTGTCGGTCTTCAAAATAAAAGCCTGATGAAATGCTCATTGAAATTAGTTATCACAACTTGACAAATTGTAGAAAATTCTAAGCAATTATAAAATATAGTTATGTTTTCAAGGTTTGCACAATTCTAATTACCTACATTTTGCTTTCATCAAAGACACCTGTCAGACTTTTTTATTTTTTTTTTTGATATTCATTTGGGCTACGTGGTTTTTCCAGGTAGCTCACTGTCCGTTGATGGGCAATCTTGTCAGGTTTTTTTTTTCTTTTTGCATTCACAAGGATGATAAAGAAACATACTCAGACAGCTGTGGCCATAGTGAACCATGAAATCTGCTCCCAGGGCACGGGCAGTGAAGTCATCCACGCAGCAGGCGCCGTACGTCACGTCCCCCATTATGATGGTGTCCGCCTCCGTGAATCTGTGAAACACAGAAGCAGTAATCAGCGCAGTCACAGACCATGTGTGCCTTGCCTTGATTCTTGCTACGGAGATCGATGCGCATGCCATGCTCGCCGCTGTGTGATTATGAGAAGCCTGAGGTACATCAATTCCTTTGTTGGAGCAGCAGGCCAAACCACAACTCATCAAGTCTGATGATTTTGCTGATCAATGGCTGACTCGAAACGACAGATTTACTTACCGAGCTGCTTTGTGACTTTATGACCAGCCATTAATGGACAAAGCATAGCATAAAAGCACTGACATATGAAGGTTACTAAGTCAACCAAGGTTACCAAGTCTGGGAAATGAAAAAGAAACAAAGGTAGAGTTAGAATTTTTAAAGTTTTTTTTTTATTTTTTAAGTAGAATTATATGAGGGTGTTGTCAGTGCTAGACTCCAGCCATGAAGGACATGTACATGGTATATTTAGGCTGCTAGAGAGTAAGAGAGAGCAAAACTTAAAGCAATGCAAGGTATTTGTCATGGTAGCTATGCTACCCATGCCAATAGCTAAATTATAATGATATGGCTAGTTTTAAAGCTAACATAGGTCTAAGTATACAAAGCGTTGTAGCCTCTGCTAACAGCTCAAGAAAAGCAATAACCTAGATTGACTTTTATTATTGATTTATGAATCTAAATCATGAATGATGATTATGAGCACAGAGAATCATTACAAAAAACAAGTTTGGGATATCAGCACAATCAGTTAATCATGAATAACAAATTACTTTATAGAACATGACTTAAATCTAAACTATCCATTTAAAATTATTCAAGTTTATAAGGTTTTTTTTTATTTTATCCCATCTATGGCCTGAATTTTTTGCTATTCTGCCTGGAAACAAGAAAAAAGAAAAAGAAACTGCTTCAGTTTGCTTGAAGAAAATATGCCATTCAGGGTAAATGCTCCTAAGCACAAGTAGGTTGCGAAAGTGTAACATAAACCATGTGGATCTAATGTTCCAGTTTGCAGTAATAGAGAAGAGAAAAAAAACTAGCTTCTTGTTAGGATAACAAATTAAACATGCATCTATGGGCCCAAAATTGTTTGAAAGAACAACGGGATGCATGACTGAGGAAACAAGCATTTACTTTTATAGCCCTTTATGGGCAAATTAATGTTAAGTAAAGTCATTAAGGCTAAGTAAAACAAATAATTTTTGGCGTGGAACCATTTGAAAGAGAGGACAGAGCTGGAGAGGGGGTAGTTGTGAAAAAAGGTGGTTCATGCCAGGTATTTGTGGTTTAAGTCTGACAGATTCAGGCTAGACAGAAAGCGGGGAGAACAGAGAAGAGACAGAAGGCTTAGGAAGTGATAAACAGACACGGCTGCATACAGAACAGCATCTGTTCCAGCCAACAGAATCTTCGTAATGCGTCTCCTGCTGCACAAGCTTTCAACCTCCATCCACTCAGTTTATTCCCCGGCTCTGGCCTCTGTGAGGGACCTCAGACAAAGTTTCTATTAAGCCTTTCCACCTTCGTTTTCTGTGATAAAAACTCCAGGTGGGGCTCTCTCTCTCTCTCTCTGGGTTCCTCCTCCCCAGCCCCCAGCAACTGACCCCCTTCCTATACAAGTTGTTTGTTTTTCTCCCTCTCCCCCCATTTCCCAGTCCGGTCTGCTCTAATGGTCGATCTCAAATGAAGAGTGGCGCAGGACAGCTGAGCCCAGCAAAAATCAGAACCAGCAATTTGTCTGGCAAATAAATATTTGCCTTTGATAGTTTGAATCAATTACCCTCTCTGATTTTAAGATTCAGACTATGTTTGCATCCACCTGATTGTACTGTGAGCCAACACCTGGTGCATGTTGATGGTTTACATGCAATTGTTTACATCCAGAAATTTCGTTAATTTTGGAGATGTCGGTATTATTGATTTAGTGCAGCACGCCACGGCAAAGGGAGAAATAACGCAGAAAAAGAAATCGGTTTAGAGCAACTCAAAACTACCTGTATTCTTTTGTTTTGTTTTGTTTCTTTAAATCGCTCTCTGTCGACCTTATGCTACAAACAGACCCGCAACTAGCAAACAGCAGCTCCAAGTGTATCAGGATTCAACACCAGAAAACCCGCAAACATTTCCCACACAAAGAACAGAACACTCAGTGTTGTTTTCAGGCTTGATATTTATTTTGCGATTATTAATACGCAATCGTCTGAACACAGCAGTGATTTATTAGTTAATTTAACACCTACTCTAGTGATGATCTTTCAGAGAGTTTGTGCGCGTGTCCCCCTGGTTTTTTTCTGAACTTAAACACAGAATTCCGCAGCATATCTACATTTTACGATTGTCAAAGTCAAGCTAGCATAACTGAGCTACTTCCCGTCCTCTTGCTATTTTTCTTTTTAATTAAAATTTGGCACTGACTTGTGAAATGTGAAACCATTGGACCTTCTTATATAGTGTGACAATTACTAGCAGAACATTGTGTCCTTTTTTCTTTTATATATCGTGTGTACATTTAAGAATTAGCGCAATATGATGACAACTTGACAGCTAACCAATGCTAGTCATAGATGGTGAGCAGTTTATTCCTTCCAGCAGGAACTTGGACGGAGGGATTTTGAATGCAACAGCTCGTTGTAGTAACGGGTAGGTTCAGAGGTCTATGGACGCCGTTTTTCCATTTACTGTGGCATGCTGTTTTTCATCCACCAGAGTCTGCTGACTTTGTTTAGAAATGAGTAAATGGGCATCCACCCTACAGCTAAAAATACACCCTGTGCCCACCGGAGGGGGCAGGGAGGGGATGCAATCCACTGCAGACCATGAAAAGCCATCTACAATGCAAAATACAGCACTACAGAAGATCATTGTATCTAATCAGCCATCTATCTGCCAAAAACATCATTATCACACTACCTTCACTGGCACTGCAAAGCATATCTAGTTATTTCCAGGGTGACATTTTATGGTAATAAATGCTAAGGATCTGAGTAAGAGGCCGATATGAGAGGTGCGATTCTACTGGGACGCAGGCACAGTAATTACTGGGCGATGCGTACTCCCATATCTCACCGGGAGAAAGAAAAAGCGGCAAGATGGCTGATAGGGTAAAGGAGGATGTTAATAAAATCCAGATTTCCATAGCTCCATTTAAAAATAGAACATACAATGGAACATGTTGGCACATATAAAGAATGCTGTCCTATATCACTACTAATCTGCATATATTTCAACTCCTAAACAGCCCAATCTCAACATTTAGTTTGAACTTATCAGTCGTGTCGGTTGCTTTCTCGTACCATGTCGTATATTTGCATGCACTCTGCTCAGCCTTTCCAGCAGAAATGTCATTAAGATCTAATTAAGATGTCAGAGAAGCTTGTGAACTCCGAAACAGTCCTTGTTAATTAGCTCTTTAGCATACAATTCGAAATGTGTGAGAAATTATCCTCAGATTAAAATCTTTTCAATAATAATGATAATAATAATAAAATTGTACTAGTGTCTGCCGCAAACACAACTACATGTCAACAACCGGGCTGCAAATTATGTTTTACACGTGCCTGCACAAACACAGCCCGTGTATTCACTGAAAGCTGATCATATTGCTTTTGTATCAACAGGTTAAGCTGATATATTTTTCATAAACGGCATTTCACTTAGCTGCATTCCAGGTCTAGAGAAAACATCAAAGCGAGCTAATGTTTCCGCTCTGCCCTCCAGAGATGATATTCTTTTTTCTGATTTTGACAGGAATTCCTTCAGATGCCACCATAAAAGAGAAAGTTGTTTGGTAAAAATATCTTACAGCTCAGACAAAGAAAATAAAAGAAGAAGAAAAAACATTCCTGCCACTGATGCATCCCCATTAGCACGCACAAAGACGTTCTGTCACTACAGGCACTCTTCTTTTGATGGAAATAACTAGACTGAATTAAGAAGACAGGCTTATTTGCTTATTTAAGGTTGGAGTAATTTGTGATTTGAGATGATGCAGGTCTTTTTTTTTTTTTGCCTTTTCATTGGCCTGTTTGTGTAAGACATGAAACTTTCAAATTGCTTGCGACAGAAGCGGGAAGATAAAGACAGATGGTAATCCTTTTAATGAAATTTGTTTCTGGGAGTGGTGGAAAATATTGCAGATGCAATGATTTATCTGTTGAAGATGAACTGACGGCACATACTTCAGTCGATCGCAGCAGGAATGCAGCAAATTCAAAGTGGAAAAGGTTCAAACTGTTTTAGAAACACCACAAACCTGAGAGTATGAACTATAAATGGACTGCAAGACAAAAAAAACAATAACTGGGGACGGATTCGGCTTTTTTTTTTTTAGTAAATATTCCCCATAGGTGCCTTCTCTCTTGCCAGCTGATCTCCACTTCCTGCAGGGTTTCAGCTTTAATTTCATTTAGGACGGATCAGCGGGGAAGCGGGTTCAAGCTGGTGCTGACTGACTCAACTGTTGTTAAGTGGTAAAAGGTACAGGGACAAGTTAAATATATGAATATGTTGGTAATTTCTTTCCTTAATTCATTAAATGCTAGTGAAATGGAAGCAAACAGACTGTAGCTGAGCTAACTATGCTAAATGGTTGATAATCTCATGCAGTCATGAATGTGAAGACCATCTCTGAATGCAGAGGACCTGACAAACCAAATACATGACAATCTAATTTGTCCCCGATTTTGCTCCGGCGCTGATACAAGTTGTGTCTCAAGTTTCTGTAGCATCAACACTGCTGTATTCGTTTAACCGACTCTTCTTCAAAGAGCTTTTTTTCTTTTCTAAGAGCAAACTCATCGAGTTTTCTTTTACGTTTTTGTAAGAAAACACAGCACAAAAACATCGCAAAAACATTTTTAAGAAAGCTTAACAACAGTTTATCAGTGGTGAGATGTTCACTCAAAACTCATTGGTATTTGCAGTTTCTTGAATATTTTCTGAAACATCGGGCTCATGGTCTCTCTTTTCATCATCATAGTTTGCAGAGTTAAGCATGTGAAAAGCTGCCAGGTGGC